TATTTTCGGTATAGACACTACTTTTGCCCTACGCCATGTGCATGGAATGTAGCATAATGCTAGGCTGCTTCTATATATACGCACCATATTATTCCTGCTCCTTTTTGTAGGAGGATGGGGGAGAAAACCATCCACTCCTGGCGGTTTATACGGGCTGAAAGAACTGATTGCCCAATCGAATCGATTTACCTATAATTAACAATCATTTCAAGTGGGCAGAAGTGTAAATAAACGTTTGAATAAAAAAAAAATCTAATCGGGCCTAATACTTTGATAACTAACAGTGTCAGAAAAGAAAAAGCAAACATTTACATCTTTCCGACCAACACGTTATCGATAGTCGTAAATCGAACTTATCAAATGTTATTCCCACTTAATATAATTTTACATGAATTAAGTAATGTACGAATTCAAAACTAAACATACTGGCCGGAGGCTTAAATAAAAATAGTTTTACTTGTGGCGTCAACTATTTAGGAATGCTTGGTTATGATCACTCAGTCAATCATTGTGAGGGTCTCTGGTCATTGTGGAGTGCTAGAGAACGAAGAAGAAGATTTGACGGCCAAAGAACTCCACGCTTAACAAAAAGTCCTAACTACTCCGAATATTGCCCTCTGGGAGGGAGAGTGCCACAGGGCAGTGTGCTCGGACCCATTTTGTACCTCATCTTTACTTCAGATATTCCGATTACACCCTCCACTGTCCTAGCTTACTTTGGCTCAGCTATGCTACCCTCTGATTCTGATCCCGCATTCAAGAGATTCAGGCACGTGTTGCGAATAGCCGAATAGAGCTAATTCAGGCGTCTTAAGATAAATTGATGCAAAAGCACGTACCATCCGAAATGTCGTGTAATCTATTTGATTCTCGGCGACAAATGAAATGGCCACGGAGAGCTTTAGTGAAGAATACTGCATTTTGCTTATTACATCTATTAAGTTTCGTGATCCGCTTGACCAAATAAATTCTTTTCAATTAATTAATCTTTAATTAAGGTTTTGGTGTGCTCAATACGCCGCGACTCTAACCATTTCCGTGAAGTCACGATAGCTCAAGTGGTCAGAGCAGCGAGGTATTGAGCCGAAGGTTGTGGGTTCGAATCCCGCTCGTGACACATTTTTCATTTCACCCAAAACCTAACATAAAAAGATTAATTAATTGAAATAATAATAACGTGGAATAATAGAATAAAACAACGTTATCATTTCATCATCATCAAGTGGTCGACTTTAGCTATCGTGACTTCGATCCATTCGACACTGACTTTATTATCTCAACCAAAACCTTAATTAAAGATTAATTAATTGAAAAGAATTTATTTGGTCAAGCGGACCACGAAACCTAATAAATGCCAAGTATTAAAATTTTTCTTTGATCAGACAGTATTAGGTCACACCCTTTTTGTTGTTGACACATAGCCTCTTTTTCCTTGTAAATGTACATCGTGTGAATTTTCCAACTTCAGGTTTGTTTTCCAATTTGCGCTACCATTATTTGATAAGCTCTACCTCTTCTTGAACGTTAGAGGTGGCTTGCATACGATTCGAGTAAAACGAATTATGATGGTATGGAGATGTGTAAGTAGTTCAGCAGTATAAATGAGACAAATGATGAGACCAAAAACCAACCCTTGTGGGACGTTGGCTTGTATCATTCTAATCTTATATATTATTCCAGGATGAGGAGTGAGTAGGAAGTGGCGAAGTTTAGAGGAGGAGCTCAGTCGAACGCCTAGACCATATCTTGGGACGCATAAGCAGATTTATCGAATAAAATTAAGGAAAAAGAGCCAATATCTCTGAAAACTGGCTGGAACGTGGAATCACGGAACAAAAGCTGAATTAATGATTAAGAACTTTTATTATGTGAGCCTCGAATGGACGTTAAAAACTTTATTTAAAAGTGGTCTTTCGATGGCGATTTCACAAATTGAAAGCACATATTTTATTTTATATTAATTATGTGTTTATTACCGAAATATATAAGTACTGTAATAAAAATTTACCAGATTATTTTTTCCTTGTCGTGACAGGAAAAGACAACAACAATAATGATTAATGAATTTAAAAAATCTACCTTATCTCTCATACGGTGGGATCTTTTTTAAAAGGAGCCCGCTATCATAACCAGATGTTTGACTAGTACGATTGTCCCTGAATCAACAGTTAACGCCTTTTATTCTCCGTCAGGCCGACATACCATAATTCTTATGCATATAGTGAAATTGAAACGTTATCGACCAAAGTAAATATTTAAAATGGTTGCACATTGTTTCACAGGGACCGGGGGAAAATTGCGAGTTTTCTTGATATATTTCTGTTTATGCTATTGGACAAAACCGTTTTATTAAAATTATAATAAGTATTGAATAAACTAACTGTATTGGATTATCCTAGATGGAGCGAACTGTATAAGTTTGTAAACAGAATCTCGAAGATTTCAAAAATTCAAAAAATCATACTGTACACACGAGGGAAGTATGGATTAAATAACTTTTCACTGGCAGGCAAAAAATTCTACCCACATGTAATATAACTTGATTTGTATATATTATTATTTGTATATATTATCTATTAATCAAAGTTTAACATTTAATAATTGAGTGTTTGTCTAAAAACGTAAAAAAATGTAAATTGCTAAGGAAAATGAAAAAAACAAAAAACGGACAGATAACATTTATTTATTACATTTTTAATTAACATTTCAGTATCGTGGATTTCTTCCTCTTGCCTTAATTACATCTCCAAGACACCACGGCATACGTTCTATCTGTCTGGAAATGTCTCTTTGCTGGAGGTTAGCCTATTCTTTTCAGGAAGAGTCCTTTCAAGATAGTGTATTGTATCAGGAAGTGATGGACGTGCTGGAATTGGAATGGAAGTGATTCGAATTTTGAGGTTATTCCATAAATGTTCGATGGGTTCAAGTCTGGAGATTGGATGGCCAGACTAGACTCTGATGTTATGCTGTTGAAGGTACCTTTGTACTAAGCGAGCGACATGTGGACGTATAATAGAATAGGATTGTTGCTGATTTCATCAGGGATAGGCAACTCATGATGTTCCAAAATGTCATCCACATAGCGAGTGGCCGTCAAAGACCGTCCACGAACAACTCACCTCTGACTTCCTGGATCTGATGAATCGCTTGAACAACAGTAAAGCCGGGAACACACTTACCCGATGCAACGCCATGCGACGCTACCCGACGCAAATCCAAAGTTCAATTTTCCATAAGATTGTATTACCCCCCTGCACATCTGCCCGATGCTATGCAACGCTACACTGCTCTACACCACGCGATCCCAACTGTCCAAATTTTCGTCGGGTCGCATCGAGTACAGATGATAGCTGTGCTCATAAAATTTAACTAACAATTTATTACATGGTTTTGCTCAAAATAATGCATTAAGAACAAAAGAGGCGTTGTGATTGTGATACTGATTTGTGATACACGCTGTGTGACTGTACGGGCTTGCGCTTGACATCGCATAGCTGTGCACACCCTACCAAAACGTGACAACGCGTCGGGTAGCATCGGGTAGCATCGCATAACGTTGCATCGGGTAAGTGTATTCACCATTTAAGGTGCCGGTTTAGCAAAATTCTCAAAGTCAAAAAACGGTCATCCATTAGCTCTGATACCCTAGGGCGTCCAGTTTCTTGCTTCAGAATTCTAATGAAACTGAATAAACATTTTAAATTCCGTAAAATGTAAACATTGAAAAGTCCTTTATCCTTGTTTTTGATTAAGGATTAAGTGTGTTTACCTCTAATTGATATTCCCAATATTTCCAATGGTAAAAACAATGAGACAGTTTAAGGGCGGAATTTTATTTTATCAAGAAAATGAAAAAAATCAATTGGGTGGACTTTTTTGCTTGTCAGTGTATGTAACAATTTTTTTGTGTCTTAGCTGGTACTGGAATATATGAATCGACGTTATGGTCGATGACACGACGCTTATCACTGTAAAGGTCCTGGGTTCGAATCCAGCGGCTCTGCATTTGAACATGACATAGAAATGAGCTAGTAAGCTTCATCGATTTGACTACTGGGCTATTTAAGAAACGCTTAATTAACAAGATAGGACTGTAAACGATTCCATTCTAGTTTTCGGACAGTATTTGCCATCGGGCTCACCGTTAAAAATGCTACTTTAGACCTTTCTAAACTTTTTCCAAGAAGGTCCCCTTTGAGTGCAGCGCATTGTGCCCATTCACTAAATACATGTGGGCCAAGCCGACACTCGAAAAAAGGTTCATCAACCACTCGAGAAAGTCAACTGTGTCAAGTAAAGGGCCGAGGTGTGAATGGGACACCCGGCCGGTCTCACTTTTCAGTACTTTACCACAATCCTTAGGTATGAAACTTGCAAAACGTCATACCTGACAACTGGACGGAAAGGAAATAAGCGTTGCGGTGAATTTATCATCCTCACGTCGCTTATTTAGGATCGAAGATTTATCAAATAAAAAAAGTGTTTGCAGTTTTTTCTTACGTTTTCTTTCTTTCATTTCCGGCCTACCTCGAAAATATTACTCACCTGGCGGCCGGGGTTCTATGTGGTACGGAGAGTTACCGATTATCGCCTTAATGACCTATGTAGGCAGGCCGATCCATCCCTTCGTGTGGTGACGAAAGGTCGAAGGGTTTACTTTAGACGCAAGACCGGATATTCTTTTAAGCAGCAACAGGTCCCACAGCGGATCCTCCACCGCTTCGGCGTGAATCAGAATCAGTTTAACAGTTCACTGAAAAAACCGCCGTCTACTGTAGATCATCCATGGGAACCTCCAGAACTCGTTGACACATTACTAAAAGCCCGCCAAAAAGGCCTTGACCTTAGTAGGAGTACCGAGGCAGGATAATCGAAAGTGGCGAGACGAATTTGAAATTTCGATTCTTGAACCGGGAAAGGAGGGAAATGGAGGCCGGCCCTGAGGATGTCGGCTATTGAATGGTTGATTCAATTGTGTAGCGCCCCACTCCCGCGGGATCTCCATTCGCCGTGGATGAAAGCCGACTGGTGAGCAGTTGCCAGTTGTGGCCCGCCACCCACCGGAGACACACTTCGTCAGCTACATCAGTCGTCACGAGGTGAGTGAACACGCGCGTTTTCTACCTAGGCCGACTGAATCCCGTCAGTTCGTCTTATCACTCGGAAAAACTTGTTAACACCCGTTAAAGCACCGTACAAACCCAAGTTATGTGACCATTTAAATAATGATTTGAACATAGTACGAAATTAGTACCGAAATTCAGAACGTCAATTTTCCAGGCAGTTAATAACGGACGGTTGCACTCAGCTCCGATTTGTTTTGAAAAATGTTTGCATGACCTCTCCTCAATAAACTTACGAGATAGAGCTGGCAAATGACGGATGAATATGAATGTTTCGTGTCCGCTTGCTCTACAAGAGCGGAAATGTTTCGAACAACACGAATAGTCTTTTTATTTGTGAATATCTAAGAGTACGAACAAAGTTAATAAAATCAAGTTTATTGCTTTCAATTTCCATCTGAAGTAAGTGATTTTTTTACGTTTCATTGAACAAACACATAATTATAATTTTCGAACTGGGAGCAAAACGAAATCACAAACTTTGGTGTTTACAAAAAGTGAGACTCATTTTTTCAAGATCAGTTTTTAGTCCGAATTTGGTCCGATTGCCGAGCCTTTGTGAAACGGAGAGCGAATTCTCTCGTCTCGCTAATGAAAATCCGTCCGATTTAATGCAAAATCGACCTGCCCACACTTTCGACAATCGCCAGGGGCTGGACGTTGTCAGGTTCAATTTTCGGAAAATTATCATGCCGCAATCTCTTTTTACGTTGTCGGCTTGGTTTGGTGGTCTGCGAGTCGCTGAACGTCTATTGGCAATTTTATGCACAGCCAACTCGTTTTTTTGCATGAATTCCACTAGCAAAATAGTTGGGTTTGGGTAAACTAACGAATCGTACAAGTAGGGATGGATCTGAACAAAACTACTAAAAATAATTTCAAAATAAATATATAGAAATCCTAATAAAAATACCTACGTTTCATGCGTTCTTGACATTTAACATTCAGCGTAAGTCGAATCCTTATGCAAATAAAACAAGATGCTAACAAAAGATTCCTAACATTCGTCCTGAATTTACAACCTAAAATTAAGTGCTATAAGTAACGGTGTCGTAATTACAACAGTAATATTGATTCTGGCAAAAAGGCGAGATTGTTCTTGTACCAATGAATCTCTTACTTACACTATTCCTCTTCTTTGAAATTGAATATAAATGTGTTCCACGTTTCGTGTTAAATTACTTGGCGAGTGAATGTATTTGTTAGCGTGTATGGTATGGGAATCGATATGTTAGTAACGAAGTTATGTGACTGAAGATGTCCAGTACAAATCGCCTTCTAATGTATGCGTAGAGCGATGAAATGGCCTAGTCTTCGTAGAGCCATATCATCTAATTTTGGTCCGAATGTGAACTAGTAGTAATTTAAACAAAAAACTATATTTGAAATTCAATTTCACAATAGAAAATACATGTAATTTCGATGTAAAATACGTATTTATTATAAAAGGAGAGATCATAAAATTGATGTTACCGATTTGAAAGTTATAAAAAGGAATTATAAAAGGTTTAATGGTGTTTATAACATGGTAACACTACGAGTGGAATTAAATAAAAGCCGAATGTCGAAACTTGATGTGTAAGATGGGGTGTATTCATGAAATTCCGTTTATTCTTTCGAAAATTACATGAAGATGGGGTTTTAACGTTATAATTACAAATCTACGTGTACGAAATGTTAAATCGTATTTTCGGGATTTGCTCTTCTGGGTTGTTTAGGAGTGAGGAAAATCCAGGGCTCACACGTACCCCGATACTAATTAAACTCTTGGTACTACAAGGCGTCAGCCACCACCTGCGCGGCAGTTGTTTCCCCCTGCCTTCAAATAAATCACACATTTCAATTTATAGAAGCAATGGAATTAACAAGTACTCAGCGAACCGGCTTGATTGGATATAATTGGATTACATTCGATATACCTGTAAAATAAATAACACACACACACACACACACACACACACACACACACACTTAGCAAAGAACAACCGCATTAGCACACTTATTAATAAATTTTAAATCACACATATGCAGAGAGAGAGAGAGAGAGAGAGAGTGATAGAGAGGGAGAGAGAGTGAGAGTGAGAGAGAGAGAGAGAGAGAAAGAGAGAAAGAGAGAGTCATATCTTCAGAACGAATTGATGAATCTTCTATAGTTTTTTAGACTGGAAAAAACTTTCAAACTGTGTGAGAATTGAGAATGCATTGCATTCGAAAAAATGTTGATCATCAGGTCGTCTTAACGTGCCCTTCTAATACCATCAGCAAATTCTACGTGAAATACGTTTAGAACCATACCTACTTAGTTTTACAGTAAAATAGGCAGCGTAAAAATAAAATGCCATTACATACACTTAAGTAGGTACATACAATAATACACGAAATTATATTAATATTATCAATTTGTTTTGTATTTTTAATAGAGTAACGTTTTTTTACTAGAACAACCTGTAAAGAACGAGAAACTATAAACCTTCATGAACCAACAACTTTCTAAAAATCTTTTCACAGAACGTCTGACTTTAAACTTTCAGATTTTGGTTGATTGTTTAACTTGATGTCCCTGACGTGACAGAATTTAAAAAGAGTTTAATACATTCAATATAATTCAAGAATAACACGGAGTGGGAACAATAGGAGCATGGGCGTGGGAAAGGGCGACTGTTCCACCTGTTAAGCCGGTGGCAATAGACCTGTACGTCTGGTTAACGATGTGCTCCAGCTGGTTTCCATAGATAAGATAATTGTTACAACAAAGAGTCCAAGCCACCTGGGTTTTCTCCGATTTGACCCGATTTCAAACCATTGCCAGTTGCAGTGTGTTTAAGACCCATATTTAAATTTTCCAATTTGCATGTAATAATTCAGTTGTTCAAGTCACAAATACTATGTGTTACATATTTAGGATTGGCAAGATCTGGACTCGAAAATTGCATTATTTGAATCAATGTCAATAAGTACTATTTATATATTTGAAATTCGGGCCCATTTAATAGAGATTTAATTGAGAATGGTCAGCTTCCAATTTTTTAAGCACTTCACCTCATGAGTAGTATTCAGAATCATTATGTGCGACGTGAATGCAGATTAGTACATCTCGAATACTAAGTATTTAGACGTAACCTGTGGGTTTGCCTCTTGGAACGAACTGAATTCAATTTTACCGACTGAAATTCAAAAATACAAAAATATAGAATCATTTAAAAAATCTATAAAAAATAATCTACTTACTAGAGATCTACAAAAATGACAGATTAAAAAGAATAAAAGTTCTAAATTAAATTCAGTAATTAAAAAAGTAAAAGTACAAAAAGTCTCTTCATATGAATGTAACATATGTATATAGTCCTCAAATATCTTACTTTAATTATACACCCAATTTGTTCGTTCATGTAAATGAAAATAATGGTTTACTTGTCCAATCCATTATATTTAGTGGTCTATTGACCAAATTACTTCTTTCAATTAATTAATCTTTTTATCCAAGGTTTTGGTTGAAATGAAAAAGCTAGTGTCACGAGCGAGATTCGAACCCACGGCCTTCGGCTAAATACTCCGCTGCTCTAACCACTTTAGCTATCGTGACTTCGATCCACTCGAACACCAAAATGGCAAAAAGGAGGGAAAATTCGAAAGGTTGTAGGTTGAGATGGGGAGTTGGTGTCCGAGTGGATCGAAGCCACGATAGCTCAAGTGGTTAGAGCAACGGCTTATAGAGCCGAAGGTCGTGGCTTCGAATCCTGCTCGATCACTAGCTTTTTCATTTCAACCAAAACCTTACATAAAAAGATTTGTTAGAAATTTTTGATAACTGGTCTTGCTCACCTGCACTTGTAAATTCTTTTTTTAAATAATTCTCTAAGTAAGGAGAAATTAACTTCTTTTTATATTTATTTGCTTTTTTGTCAAGTTAATCTTATATACATTATTTTTATTTAATAATGATGTATGAAAAAGAAAAAGAGTAAAGTCATTGAAATTTACCAATTGTATTTCACTTTAGATTTAAGCATGGTCTTGAGAGCGAAAATCTCTCTCTCTCTCTCTCTCTCTGTGCTGTCTCCCCCCCCTCTCTCTCTCTCTCTCTCTCTCTATATATATATATATATATATATATATATATATTGGTTTTTTTTAAATTAGGTTTGTCTTTTCCGATCGTTTGGTCTGAAAAAGAAGAAAAAGAAACTTGAACAAAATGCGGATGGGCAGGCCAAAATGATCGGATTCGACGAGCCACTGGTTCATCGTCCTTCTGTTCTTTTGGTCTGGGATAGCCTGGAGTCTGGACTTAACTAGTGCTTTTTTAATTTAAAATTTGTTTAAAGAATGGTGCGGAACCACCAAGTGTCATGATTTCCCCTTTGAATTATTTGTAAGTGTTTTGCATTATGTTTATTGATTATGAATCGAAAATAACCCTTTTGTGATAAAAACTTAATTTTTGAAACAAACAAAATATTATTCATAAATTCATTTAAAAAAATTAAGCATTTATGTCGATATACTGAAAAATATTCCTACACGTAGCCCACGCTTTCGACCGGAAAAGGCATACAAAAGGCATAGTTTACTATGGAAATTCAAAAAGATTCTTGCCAATACGTTTTACCTTACACTCCGACCCTACAGTAAAATCTGGAGTCCCCCAAGGAAGTATCCTTGACCCGATTCTTTTTACAATAATCACTGCTGACATCCCGACTTAATCCCCTTCCTTTATAAAATCTGCTGAAACTACTCGACCAACAATCTCACCTAAACAGAAACAACATACCCTTTAAAAAACTCAAATTTGGACCTAGGGAATGGAAGTTGGTCGTTAACCCAATCATTCCAATTCGTTCGGTGTCCAACTCTCCAAATTTTAAGAAAAATCTTAATACTCCCTTCTACTTGTCCAATAAAACCATTCCCACCGACCTCCATCATCACTCGTACAACCTTGTAAGAACACATCAGAAATTCCACATTGCCCT